TACTTCATTTATTATATATAAACACAATATCATTAAATGTATATACATAGTGAGAAAGATGATAAGAAAATACACCAAAATATTAACTATGATTCTCTTTCAGTGGTAGGATTTCATTACTTTTCACTTTTACTCTGAATTTTCTGGAAATATTCCCAGTTCTTGCTTGCAGTTGACTCAAAGTAATTTTTCTACTTTTACTCTGAATTTTCTGGAAATTTGGAAAATGACAAAAATCAGCATGTGTGATTTTCATAATTATGAAAATTGTAAAGATAGGTTCTTAAATTAGGACAACTATAATTTTCAGAAGAATAATTGAATCCAGAAAAGGTCCAAAGTTCTTGGGTAAGGTGTCTAATTAGCCCAGCTTTTAGGACTTCCACCTTTGAAGAAATCCACTGTGACTAGAGGTGGGGTGACATGGTACTAATATAACAGCATTCACTCGATGCATGGGGGAATAATGGATAACTCCTGGAGCAAGGGTGCTGGTGGACAATTCCTTAAGCATCCACTACAGATACTCTGGCAATCCCTGGATACCCAATTTAGAGGTTACTCCTGTTGACCTTAGAATCCCCACCCTCCATTGTCCTTATGAGGTCATACTCAGCATTCACCACACAATGGTTAAGCAAAGAAATTTTTGAATTTCTGAATGTCCATGGGGTACCATGTTTATGAGGGAAGGCTGGATGCAGGAGTCATACACAGCCAGGAGTCCATATATCTATTCCTGATTGACCCAACACTGGCATACCCACATTCCTTCAGCAGTCCGTAGAATCCCACACAGGCACACTTGGATACATTCCCCTCCATCCAAATGTGGAATTCTTTTGTCTGAGATGAATGTCCTCACTCTGACCTCAAACACACACACACATACAAACACACACACACAACCACTACTACACATGTGAAGGCTCTGCCTTCCTTAGACTGTAGCTTTTGGTCAGCAAGTGGTTCAAGAGTCATCAGGCCCTGCCTGCCTGTTAAATTTGCCACCGACCTTACTGGCTTCATTTCCTCCCTATCCTACCATCCATATTAAAGTCTCTTATCTCTCTCAGTTGGCAACCAATTATAATAATTTGGTAATTCTTTATGTCCAGCGTACCCCTGTCTGTATATAACTGATTGTGCATTATTGGTGAAATTCTATAAACCATGTGCTCTATTTTTACAAATGCCACACAGTTTTCACTGGCAATCTCAAATGATTGTGCCTGCTAGACTAGTAAGGAAAATTTTCACTGTCATTTCAGTCCTTTTATTTTTGAATGACTTTGAGGGAATTATTTAAACATTCCAGTTTCTTAGCTAAAAATTGTTGCAGAGTCATTCTGGAACATGCACTTTTGTTTTCGTTTGCATATAGAACATGCAGGTTTTGCAATTCTATTTTAAGAGCTAGAGGTTAAAACAGCCTACGCATATCTGCTTGTGCCACTAGGTGGTGCACACATATGTCAGTGATCTGTAGGTTAAAGGGGCTTATCACCAGGTTAGTGTTAATTTATCACCACAGAGGTGGTACCAACAGTAGGAGCTGTAGGCGTCCGGAAACAGAGTAATCCTCCGGGCAAGAGTAAAGAAAGGAAACCCTCCCAGAGGAGATGGATTGACAGTATTCCTGGCTACAGAAATGGCAGGAGCAAAATCTTAAAGGCAAGAAACCCCAAAGATGTAGCAGGGGAAAAAGTCTTGGAAAAGAAAGAGCATGTTTACTCTCCATGCTGATTAATTCCTAATCAACCGGGTTACTGCAGAGGAGTAACAGCATAGATGAAACATTTATTTGAGCTAGATGACATCAAACATTCCTTCCAGACCTTTGTTCAGGGAACTGGGGGTACACAGGTGAAATGACACAGCACTGTCCTCAAGTAGGATCAGTGAGAAAGACAAACAATGAAGACGGTACATGATACTTTCTCCTGGTGAGAAAGACAGTACATGGCAAAGACAATGAAGACAGTACATGATACTGTCTTCCTTGTCTTTCTCACTAGCATCCTCAAGGAGGATGCTAGATGCTTTGCAAGATGCATTGGAAGAACAAAGCGTGAGATTCTGCTCTGAGGAAGGGAGATAAGGTGGTTAGGTTTGGGAGATGGTGTTCAAAGAAGACTTCATGGAAGTCTTGAGAAGTGAAGAGATCTTCAGGAAGATTTCAAGATGGTAGACAAATGATAGCATAAGCAAAGGCATGGAGGTTTGAAAGGATAATGTCTGTGGATTTGGGGACTAGTTCAGTTGAGTTCAGCAAATACTTACTGAGGGGTACTCTGTGACATGTACTGATTTTACTAAGATTAATAATGGATGTTGTAGGCCCTTAAGATGCTCCTCATCTAGTGAGGAAGACTGATACACGCATAGAAAATTGCAACGTGAGAGGATAGTTGAAAATGTGGTTCCCTTTTAAATTCTAACTATGTCCTTTGAGTCCCCAGTGTGCTGGCTACAGGTTCTCGGGGAGTTGTACACCAGAAGAGGGAGCCTGTAAGCCCACTACCTGGTTGCATTTGGCTCCCTGTCACTGATGGCATTTCAGTCTCACTTGCTCATTTTAGAGTTGCAAAGTTGGAGGCCAGAGACGGAAAGCCAGGACACAAGCCCAGGCCTGTCTGACTCTGTCAGGTTTTCTCCCCCTTTTTCTTTAAAGAATCCTAGGCATAGAGTTGCCATTTAGCAATACTTCTTAACTAGAAAAAAATACATTTCAGACAAATAGGCCATCTTCACCAACTGTGACCATCACAAAGTCAAGTGTATGTAAAAAGGACACGATGGATTCTTCCCTTATGTATGAAGAAAGTGCCAAGTCACATAGGTTGACCTTGGCAAAGGCAGCTTAAGCCAGACGTCCCACTGGCCTGGTTTCGTGTTAGAGAAGGAAGAAGGTCTGGCTCCAGCGTTCCTTCTAGCCCGCATGCATGCGTGGGTGTTTCATATCAGTGCTAGGATATGCTCTTACTGTGTAGATTAGTGACATCTTAGAGTTGCATTGTTTGCTTGAAAATGTCAACTGGAATGAGTTATAAGTTGGTAGGAAGACAGGTCTGTGTGATTGAGAAGGCACCGGAGGGATCTGGAGCTCCTTTTACGTACATGAGAAGTCACTGAAGCAAGGGATAAAGAAATCTTACAGAGATTTTGACTGAAACAGATCAAAGTTAGTGAAGAAGGAGGGTGACTCTGAGGAGAGGGAGATTTGAGACCAGGTCTTATGAGTAAAGAACAAAGGACCTGGGAATATTTAGACTGGAGAGAAGACAGTACAGATCTTCTTCAGCTCTCCAAACTATTGTCATGGACTGAAGTAGCTAGAAACAGTGATTGTGTCATCAGGAAGCAGCTTTTAACCTTGCTCAAAGTAGAGCTATCTAACCAAAAAAAAAAAAGTGGTCGGTTCGCTACCAAGAAAGAAGATGAAACAGAAGCAGTTCATACCTGGTGGAGACATTGAGGAGGGAGTCCCTGACCTCGTGGCAGGTCAAATCTCTGAGCTTTAAATAAGTAAAATTCATGAAAAAGTAAGAGGCATCTTATATAAACCAAGGACCAGATGTTCTGTAATAACAACATCAATACTACATAGATCTTTTTATTGAGAACCTTCTAAGTGCCAGGCATCATGCTAGATGATTTGTATGCATTGCCGTATTTTGAACTTTAGAGCCAGAATCAGAACTGACTAAATTTTAATCCTGACCCTGCCATTTAGTGAAGATGTCTTGGACAGACAGTTTCTCCCCTCTAAATATCATGTCCTCTCCTGTACAATTGCCAAGGGTATGAAAAAAAATTGATACATCAAAGTACTTAGTACTGTGCCTGATCTACAGTTAGTACTTTAAAAATGTTTCTGCCTTCCCCTTTCTGCTTAAGCAGAATTTCAGGAAGCCATTCTTGGATAGAGGCAAGATAAAGAGGGAAATGCAGGGGAGGTAAAATATGGCAAGGCCTCTGCTGCACAAAATACTGGATGATTGAAATCTCCTGCAATTTGTAACCTAGAGCAATGACTCTCAAAATGGAATTTGTTTGGACCTCTTTTAAGAAAACAGAAACAGAGATTTCCAGTATTATTTACAAAAAATCAAGTGTAGGAAAGAGAAAGAGGTCAGCAGGAGGACCGGGACTAAAGGAACGCTGACTCAAGTCTTTGAGAGGGCTGCTCACCACTTTGCCAGCTGCAGCCTCCTGTACCCACTTCTCTACCCTCAAGTTTTCATGGCATCCAGTCTAGGACAGTAGCTGTGCTGTGATACGGAACAGGCCTTTTGAGATATTGATCACCTCAGCCCTTGGGGTAACCAAGGCCAGTTGCTTCCAAACATAAGCTGCCTCATCTCTATAGCCTAGTGTGCTAGACAAATATTATTCTGGGTGAATATTGTGTGGTAAGAGAAAGGATAAGGATTCAGTTAGAAAAGGAATGGTTGGTCATCGCTAATTGAAATTGTTATGCTATTATGAGCAGACTTAAGAATGAAACCAATCCAGAAATATCTTGGTTAAATAGAAGTATCTAGAGAGTGGCAGTACCACAGGCACTCAAGGCAGAGAGCATTGCCAATATATCAGACACTCAACCAGTGCAGCCAGTATGAGAAAAGGGAAATCTAAAGCTATCTGGTACAGAAGAATGAGCCCATGACTGGGAAACTGGAAAGGGACCTTCTCTGTGGTTCTAGGTGAGCCACATTCTGCTCAGGGCCTCATTTGCCATAAGTATGGTATGATTTGACTGAGAGACCTCTAAGCTCTAACCACCTGTGCTTTCAAAGACAAACAAAAAACCCATTCATCCCCTTTTGTCTCTAGGGTACAAACCCTCTCTGCAGAATTGGAAGTGAGTACCACATTCAGTATGATTTACCCTGCAGTATGTCCAAACATCCTCTTTGCATGTCTGCCCTGACCTGCTAAGCACAATTTTGACTCTGGCTCAAATCAGTGCCCTCACAGTGTGTTTTCTTTTGCAGCAACAACGACAGCTTGACCTCCTGACGATAACCAGCCCTGGTGAGTAGGTGTGGCCCTTCTGCCTTGGCTTTTCCCTTATTTCCTGAATGATGCCTTGTTGCCTATCCAAATGCAATTCCTGCCCTTCTCTTTTGACTTCCTGAATGAACAGCAGAACTCTTGTGCCATGAACAATCCTTCTCCTCCCCACCCTCTGCTCCACATGCAGTTGATTTTTCTCCCTGCCAGCTCTGTGTTGCCTCCTCCTCACTATGGATGGCAGGACTGATACTCTGGATGTTGCTGCATATTCTAGGGTGATGTTCTCTCCAAATCACTCACTGGACTCAGGTGTCAAGGAAGTGTCCTGGTCTGAGAAATAAGTTTTAGAATCATGTGGAATGGAGAATCTGCTTGGAAGGTGCCATGAAATGAAGGGAGGATGGCTCATAAGATTGGGCCAGTCTGGGAAAGTGAGCAGGTTTGGTTGGCTGTGTAGAGAGTCAAGATGACTTTTGTCTCTCACTTTTAAGGGAAGGACAGGTCCCCCCAAAAAACTGTGACCATGACCATGGAATTAAAAGGTCTTTTTTCCCCTCTATAGCTGACATCTGGCCTAGGAGAGGCTGAGCAATTTCGTTCTTTCAGAGAGGTATTTTACTCTGGTTTGGAGACTTAAGGCAAAATTGGACAAAAAGAGATACTGTTCTCTCTTATGGTCATGGGGATGATGGTGCCAGCAGGGTTAGTGAGCATTTGAGGGTTGATGTGGTGGTTATCTTCATCCATGGGTGATATTCAAAATATTTAAAAGCCATCTGCTATGCTAGGCATTAACACTTTGGTTACTGGACTGTGGGGAGATGGGGTCCCGGAGGAGGAGCTACTGTGGCACTGTGGTCATACGGCAGGTTTGTGGGTCTCAGGGGATGACTAATTACTAATAAATGTGGATATGTTTCAATATGTTAGTAACCAGCATGGCTGAACTACGTCAGCCCTTCCTTCCACTAAGCCTACCATACTGTATCCATGGGCCAGTGCCTCACTTTCAAAGCGACTGAGATATTGCCCTCTGCAGTCACTATCCTAGCAATTATCTTGTCTACATAAGTAGGGTATAGAAAAGTGACTGCACCTGTAAGGTGCAGTCACTAGTTTGGGTGACCTTACTATAGTTCTATACCTGATAGAACTCTTTGAGCTTGAGACTTCAGAAGAAAAAAGATAGAACTAGTTCGAAAAAAGTTTACTCTACTCCATAGAATGATCTACATTTAACATATATATGATTAACATATATAGAAATTCCAAATCATGGGCTGACATGACTAGAGTGGCTCACTTGTATGACCTACCAATTCCTCCTAAGGTGGTGGTGAGAGATTATCTACGTCCTATACAGTTTAATTGCTTTTAATTGTGTCCTGTTCTACTCCACAATACACTGTCTATATTGCCTGCTTCCACATCTCAGTTTCATCGGGTCACACCCTGATATGATACCTAAGTGTGAATTGGAGAGAGTTGTTGATCCGTCTTCAGTTGCTTTAGAGGGAAATCTTCAGGCTATGTTAAGTGCATTTCTTTTGTACAACCTCTTTCTGCTCCAAATTACTACTTCACAAATTCAAGCAAAGTAGTTGTGACTCTTTAGTACACTCCGTTTAGACAGCTTTGGGACTGGAAAAAAAAATCAGCACTGCTAGAGTTTTGAGTGGTTCATTATTATCCCTCCTCTTAGAGGAGAAAAGAATACATTCTGGGCCAGGGCATCCCAAAAGGCATGTTGTGGCACACTGGTGTATTGCAGATGGGCTATACTTGTGTGATATTGTGAGATAGCAATTCACTCAGCTCTCAGGGACACAGGTAGGACCTAGGGCAACTGAAGCCCCCTAGGTGGTAGCTTCCACTCAGATGTGTCAGACAAATATTATCCATATGTGCCATGACTTGGAAAGTTTAGGAAGCACCATTGGATCATGCTGTTATCTGGATGACTCTATTCCATTTCAAAAGGACTTTCATTCACTATCAAATTCACCCCCATTCTACATCTCACCAGGAGCTGCAGCAGCTAGGAGTCAGCTTGCTACCTCTCTCGGGCTGCCAATAGGAGGTACTAGCTTGTCTGAACTCCTCCCCAGACCATCTTCAACAGAACTGCAGTGTGATGCTGCCAGTCATAGATTAGGAGCCTTCTGAAATGCTGATCAGGAATTTGAATGCCTTAATCTGCTTGATACCTTCTTTAAAGGCTTATTTTGTTTATTGTGAATAATTTCTTTCTTTTTTTTTTTTTTAATTATACTTTAAGTTCTAGGGTACATGTGCACAACATGCAGGTTTGTTACATATGTATACATGTGCCATGTTGGTGTGCTGCACCCATTAACTCATCATTTACATTACGTAATCTTCTAATGCTATCCTTCCTCCCCCTCCCCACAATAGGCCCCGGTATGTGATGATCCCCTTCCTGTGTCCAAGTGATCTCATTGTTCAATTCCCACCTATGAGTGAGAACATGCGGTATTTGGTTTTCTGTTCTTGCGATAGTTTGCTGAGAATGATGGTTTCCAGTTGCATCCATGTCCCTACAAAGGACACGAACTCATCCTTTTTCATGGCTGCATAGTATTCCATGGTGTATATGTGCCACATTTTCTTAATCCAGTCTGTCACTGATGGACATTTGGGTTGGTTCCAAGTCTTTGCTATTGTGAATAGTGTCACAATAAACATACGTGTGCATGTGTCTTTATAGCAGCATGACTTATAATCCTTTGGGTATATCCCCAGTAGTGGGATGGCTGAGTCAAATGGTATTTCTAGTTCTAGATCCTTGAGGAATCGCCACACTGATATGCAGAAAAGAGTAGAGACATAATGAACAGCCATTTATTGCCCACGTGCCAACCCCTTGGCTTTGTCATATCAACATGTGCCTTATATGCCAGAGTCACCTGTTTTTGGAAAAAAATTATAAATGTAATTGAGACTATTCTATACTCCTTCCTAGTACATCTTTGTTCCTTCACCCTACAGGTAATCACTGTCATGAATTCAATGTTTTTCCTTATCTGTGTATCAAAAAATATAACTGGTATTACTTTACAAATTCCTATGGTATCACACTATCAATGTCATTCTATGACTTTTTCCCTACTCATGATTATATTGTAGAGATTCTTTTATAGTGATACACATAGCTCTGCCTCATTTATTTTAATTGCTGTGTGATATTCCATATATGATTGAATTACAATTTATCCATTTTATTGATCAGAATTTAGGTTATTTATAGCTGCTTGTGATGCAAACAATGCTGCTTAGAGCAATTTTGTGCATGTCTCTTTATGTATGAGTATGAGAATTTCTCTAGGGAAAGCGATTTATTAATTATATGCATCTTCAAATTAACTACATAATGATCAATTGTTTTCCAAAGTAATTGAACATATTTACTCTTCCAGTATCAGAATGTGAAAGTTTTCATTCCCCTGCAGCCTTAACACTTAAAATTGTCAGACTTACAAATTTTGCCAGTTGTCATGATGAACATGAAATGATATCTCATTGCTATTACAATATATGTTTCCCAAATTACTAATGAGATAGAGCATCTTTTTGTATCTTTATTGTCCACTTTGGTTTCTTCTGAGAATTGATTTTTCATATCCTTTATCTGTATTCTATTGAGTTGTCTCTTTTTATTGATTTTTAGGAGTTTATTGTTCTGAATATCAATACTGTGTCACTTATATGCATTGCAAACATCTTCTCCCAGACTATGGCTTGTATTTTTAAAATTTTTCCATGATGTATTTTGATGTATGGGAGGTTCTAAAAAATTTTAATGTAGTTCAATTTATCGATCTCTTGTTTTATAAGCTTTACTGTTGTGACTTATTTAAGAAATCCTCCCTATCTAAAGATCATATTGTCCTGTATTTACTTCTAAAATTTCTCAAGTTTTGCATCACATTTGGGTCTTTACTTATCTCATTTAGGACTGATCTTTGTGTATGAAATAAGAATTTTTTTTGTGTATATATGGATAATCCAGTGTCTCAGAACCATAAACCACTAGTCAATCCTTTTTCTACCCATTAGCAATTACACATCTGTCATCCATCAATTTTACTATGTACAAAATCTATTTTCTTCTCGATACTATTGTATTGGCCTACCACACTTAATTCTACATCGACTCAACACTGTCTCATTTATAATAAATTCTAATTTTCAGATTGTCTTAATAATTTATGGCCTTTGCCTTTCATGCTTATCTTTTGAAAGCAACAATTAAATTTTTTAAATACAGTATAATAATCCTTATATTGTGACAGGTGAATTTAATCTATTTTCATTTATTATAATAACTAATATATTTAGACATATTTCTACCACCATATTTGTGTTTTCTGTTTATCATTCACTTCCTTTATTTCTTTTCTGCCTTTTAAACATTTTTATATGTTACTTTTTTTTATTGCATTCTCTGTGGATTTGGATGCTATCTATTTTATTTCTAACCTTAACTGGTTATATGTGGATATGTACTTAGCTATACATTTTCTTACAACAAAGTCTACAGTTATTCTGACTTTCTAGCATTCTTTTAGCCACATAAAGGGCCTTACATGCTTTAACTACCTATTCAACAATGTCAGCTTCTAGTTATTCTTGTTTAGACTAAGTTAAACTTTTTGCAAAAAGCAAAACAATGTGTTATTATTATTAGCTCATTGACTTTTCCTACATTGTTTATGAATTTTTGCATTCTTTTGTTTATTGTATATCAAGCCTTTCCTATGTTACCTTACCAAAGTGCATCCTTTAATAGCTATTTTAGCGAGAGTCCATGGTAACCCTCTTAATCTGTATATATTCTTGTTTTGACTTCTGTCTGGAATGATAACTTGGCTGGGTATAAATTTGAGTTTGAGGAGGATGTTCCTTTGAACTTTAAGGATTTTTTTCTTTCTTTGGAGTATAATACCATTTATATAAGTTTAAAAACATGCAAAACAGCAGTACATTTTGAGGGGATA